GAGGCATATAGCAAAGAAAATCAAATTCACTCCCGCGGCTTTGCCTTAAGCAATATATTAATCTCCAGATTGGACACCAATTTTAGCTTCATTAGTGGCATGAAACTTGATTTAGACGTCCACTTCACCTTACAAATCTCTCTCTCTCTCTCTCTCTCTCTCTCTCTCTCTCTCTCTCTCTCTCTATCAATCCCTAGCCAGTCTAGAGAGACACTCCACTTAAACTTGATCATCTGAGTTTGTTAAGTGTCGTATAAGTACCTAGTCACCATGATCCAATCAAGTTATGGCATAGTTAAATAATGCACACGCCTCTGAATGTGACAAATCAAGCATGCTAATTAGCTTCCCCGAATAGGGTTCTCGATGACACACGTTGTTATGCCTTGGTTGGTTCCATCTAATGGGAGAGAAAAATACAAGATAATTAAGCAGCCCTTTTCTTGTACGAGTACAGTTCAACCACAGGTCATGAACTCATGAGTAACCTCCAATGCAACCATATATATATATATATATGGCTTACGTTGGAAAATGGCCTTAAACAGGAACTAATCAAGTATCATTTCTGCGTGGGTCTTGCACTGATTCCATTAAGTTAATAAGATTTTACAAATGAAGTGGAGGGTTTTGGAATTCAATTGGTAACATATGTTAGTTGCCCCATGTTAGGTTCTCTAATTATGCACTGTACTATGATATATATATATAGTACTGATTAATATAGAAATAGTTGGAAGCTAATGAAACCACGTAGTTTAATTTAAATATATCTTGAGAGAGTTAAACACATGCATGCATGCCTGTTTTTTTGTGATAGGTTATCTAAACCTTTTCTTGTACAGACAAAAAGGGCATGCATGTTAAATTTCATACGTGGTAATTAATAATCAAAAATTTTTTTGGTGTACTTAGTACACTGTTACGCAATGTCACTTTTATGCTCAAATTATAACACGTAAAGTTTCTTTTTATTAATATACTCTAGAAGTGAGACATTCTATAACCGCTATTGTCCAATCCTTATTAAAGCACGTAAAATAACAGACCACTATAAACTGTTTTCTCAATACTCATAAACATTTCTTGTGAATAATCTATTAGTCGATTATAAATATTTCAATATATATACTTGTCCATGTACGGATATTCCGACGACAAACCAATTTTGATTAAACAAGCTTAATGGCTACAAAAATATTCATGATCACTTACTCATGATCTCATAGATCTAGAAAGCTAGCTAGAGAGAGTTGTGCCTACCTTGATTAACATATATAAACAAGTGCAGTACTGTCCAAAGGAACATATTTGATTTGATATATGCATGTATCCGTGTCAAGTTGTCAACTGGGTTACACATGAGATGTGAACTGTGTAAATTACAAGACTTCCTAAATCCAAATGTACACAGAGATGATATATGAGCTTTGTAGGGCGCCATACATTTGAAATGATCTCCTTGTCGGGAGCTAACAGTCAATATAAATTTAAGGGAGCATATAATATCTGCCAATCACTGTGATGATCTGATGGTAAAGGTTATGAGGTAGAAATTAAAGAACAAAATTGCATAAGTGTTTCATCCTTTCCATATCTTATCGTAGCTTATTAGCTTTAGCTTTCATTTCATGCCTTTGTACAGAGGTAAGAGGTTCAATCTGAACATGAAAAAGGACGAACAGATTTCCAATGTACAATACTTTTAAGTCCTGTGTTTGCCTTTATACAGTCATGCATGTGCACTATTGTGTATGCTTCACAACCAGCTTCAATACAACCATGTTTAAAGTACTTCAAAATTGCCACAACATTTCTCTGGTCCCTACTTAGGCTTTCACATCTAGTAATCTACCCCACAAGAAAAACTTGTGTACATATTGCTCAGATTATGCCACTTGTGTATGGATATTTCTCCAATTGTGTCATTTGCATGACACTTCTCACTAACATGAAATCTCTATATTTTGATCTCATCTTATCATCCTACACAATCATAAACAGTATAAAAGTTTATCTACTCAAACAATCATATTGAATATCTTCTATTAGCGCTAGCCCACTAACCCTAAAAACAATCAACGAGTAACCACATAAAGGATAAATTTCAGCATATACTAACTTCTCCTGGTATTATGGTTGGAATCATAATATCCTGCAACTTGCATCGATTATGAGTTTTTCATGTCGTATAGCTTTTTTTAGAAGATGTTAATTTTCTTCAGGATTACTCATTCCATCTTAGACTTTTGATACGGAATATTTAGCCTGCAGACTTGACCTCAAGCAATGCAATTTACAAATATATAGTAGCATTCAAAACAATTGAAGTATAAATGATGATAGTGAATTGAGCCAACCTTTTCAACGTACGGTTTATACTTGCAATCTTTGGGGCCCCATAAATCAAGAGGATTGTCCCAATGTAACCCAAGTACTCTCTTTCGGATCCTAGGAACAGGTCTCAAAGATCTTTTTTTTTTTTTCCTCTTGGAATACACAAGAGCGAAACAATCAACCTATTGATATTGGAAGAATTTTTTAGTTCAAGTTGTTTGTTGTTGATTGAATTGGATTAACGAAGCTTGAGCTCATGAGGGATCGAAGCTGGAGGTTGTTCCAATCTCATTTATTTATTGGGTAATGCTAGAAAAATTAAATTTGTAGACAAAATATTGTAAACTAAATGACATGGAAGTTGATGATTGAATTATTACTTAAGCGTTGATAGTTTGCAAATTTTGTCTACAAATTTAGTCTCCTTAGCATTATCTTTATTTATTTTGTTCAGAGTTCGACCTTATTTCATTGAACTGCTCAAATTCCGTGTCACATGGGGAAAAAATCAGTGTTTATTGTTGAGACCAACCAATGTCACTGGTATAGCATATATTAGAAAGCTAGGTTACAAACACTTAAATTAAAACTGTAATCAAGAAGCATATATGGGGAAACAACCTGTTGGGTTTGGACTTACGTAATTAGTTTTAAGCAGTTTTACACTTCATGATTCATAAGCTTTAAGTAAGATTCATATATAGATGGTGAGTTCGATACCATATTATTATGGTATGCGATTTATCCTAAACTCACGCCACTTAGTGTAAATGTTTCATTGTCTTAAAAAAAATGTAAACCCTAATACACATAAAAGGTGCGTGGGAATGGGAACCACCATCAACACATATATAGTGTACTCTTGTGAAAATATATATTAAATGGACCAGGTTCATTAGCACTGTAGCATTCGTGTCAAGTAACGCAACGTGGGCATGGCATTGTGTTATAGAACCGAAACGTCATAGTGATTGCTCATATGAAAGTTGATGTCCTTGTGAAAACTGCTTGAAATGAATGAGCATGATATATTATTAGTAATTGGTAGCAGGACAGACCGAAAATAATTCAGCCAAGAACCACAACTATCGGTCGTACTCGTACTAGCACAATACAACAGTTGATGATGAACTTTGTCTTGCAATGTTGCTATCACAGTGAGCTACCTAGGCCTCTGTAAATTGTAATATGTATCTATGAAGCTGCATGCATGTCTTTTGGAACAAGGGCAACATCTCCATTATTAAAATTGCGGCTTGTGAAACAAATGATGGGAATTCAAGTCCCCTCAGAAAAAAAGGGAAGGGCATTGCTTTTGGCTCCTAGCCTGCGACTGCGAGGAAGGAAGTAGGAACTACTACTTTAACAGTGGAAACCAGACAAAACCGAACGATTTGTGTTTCTTGTTTGCACGTTCGTACTCCTCTATCTGAAAGCTGGCCACTTTCACTTTGAATGTGTATGTAATGTGCTCCTTAATCGTCCATTCACAATTGCTTTGTAGAATTTAAAACTATTACAATATTTAGAAGACGAGAGGAGTTTCGGACACATGACGCATGGGGGCAATCACAACACCCACGTCAAGGGGCATCCAAGCCTTACTTTATGTCAAAGGGCGTCTAAGCCTATCTCAATCTCAACTGATTGTAAAAATTAGTGTGTCACAATCTTGGCCATTTTTTTCTCAAGTGCCGCCTCTTATTTCTCGAATCGCACTTTGTAAAGCTTTTTTTTGTACTTCCGACGATATTAGTGTTTAACTTGTAAATTATAATCTATACTCTTGTGATTATGGGTACAAAAGATTTGAAGCCTGTGATTTGATCAACTTAATTAACATCACTCACATAACTTGATTTTTGAGACATCAATTCAGTGTTATGGATTCTTCTCCTTCACTTTTATATTCTAACTTCCATGCTATAAGTATTGATTATATAAAATGTAATATGCATCATGAAACGAATAGAAATAGTTATGACTACTCAGCAATATGAGAATGAATGGTAAGAATTGAATTGAGGAAATACTATTTTTGCTTACTCGCTTATCTAATTGATATAAAGTCGAGCTATCCAATAGTCATGTTTCTTTGTTTCTCACGGTAGGTATTTTGGATCAACCGGCCCACACCACAAGGAGGGCTCTCAAAAGGCTTGACAACTAAACTCCAATCTTGGACCAAGCCCAAGATACACCTAAGTTAAGTTCACACCTTTCACCATTCATCTAAAGCCTACATACTCTCTAGGAAAGTAAAGTACATTGAGGACCCTGATGCACTTCATGCCATTCGTGGATCTACTAAAGTTCAAAGGCCAAGAAGACCACGCTCTATTCCCACCTAGTAAATTAGTATTAATCAACAAGCCCTCTAACCCGGCCTAGTAAATTATCATTAGTCATATTTCTCATTGTAGTATCTTTTTGTTAAGCGTTTAGCCCAGTTGTAAAAAAAAGTCGTACCCATGCACAAGGTTTCCGCTTTAAGCAGGGTCAGTTGTAAACCCAAAAAAAATTAAGTGTAATACCATTTCGGACTTGTGTACTGGAACAACTAGTATACGAAACAGAATAACGAAAAAATTAGGTTTCGCAGAATCAATCGTGTAGATCTTGTCTAGCGCAAGGGAAATTTATGAACAAAATGCACCAGATAAATATAAAATAAACGATATGCTTCAGAAAATTGTATAATGCAGCAGAAACTGTATCATATGGTGTTAACTGACGAGACTAAAGACAGTATTTCCGGCTTCCTTGATGTTTAAAGGACAGCAGGACCCAAAAAATATCAAAAAGGAAAAAGAAATAGGTTACAAAAACAAACTTCAAGACTCCAGAGGGCCTTGGCCCCTCTGATCCCCAAAGTATTACAAGATTAATCATGTATGAATCAAAACTAATAAGCGATTTCTCGACCTCAAGAGATTAACCACTCACGCTAATAGGTCAAGGCCGATAGATGGTTGTACACCATTCAAGTAGACGCAGGCGGTTCCCTTGCTTTGACGGGTAATGCCTTGTGTTCTTCTTCACTTGGCAGCTGTTTTTGTTCTTCCCTTTGTTCAACCGGCAATACCTTGTGTTCCTCCTCAGTCGGCAGCTCTTTTTGCTCTTCCTCGATGGGCTCTTCTCGTACACAAGGTCTCCAGATTGTCTCCTTGCCCACGTCCATTAGTGCAATGCCTTTTCTAGTCAAATCAGCTCTGATCTGATCGCTCATTGCAAAATCTTTGCTTTCCCTTGCTTGTTTTCTCTCTTCAATCTTCTTCAGTACATCGTTTTCCACCATCCCTGCTCTCTCCAATGCTTTCACTTTCAATTGCTGCAAAACCTGTACAGTGCAGTATCCCTTTGTAGTTGATAACTTCAATCCATGATTTCAAATTTAAAGGAAACAAAAGAGGACATATCACCTCCGAGTATGTATGGGGCGATTTTAAACCCAAAACGTCCAGAACATCATCAGTAACTGCTTTCTTTACATTGGTTAGTGACTGGACCATTGATAACTGTTTTTGCTTTTGCTGCTTCTTCTATAAAAGTAAACACACTTTTTGTTATCACAACACAGCCATATACACATATAAAGGTGGGAGAGAGCACAGAAAAAAAAAGTGAGGCATGGTGGAACTGAATCTAAATATCTACCTTGAGTCCATTCAAAGAACTGTTTATAAACTTCAACGCATCTTGGAAAGCACCAGTCAATATCTGTGCAGTGTTCAAGTCATCGCACATTTTAGACTCAAACTCATTCTTTAGCTTACTGATGCATTCTTGGGCAGTCGGAGTAATTTTAACTGTTCTGCCATTTTGATCGGCGCCTTCCTTCAGACCCTCATCTCGAAATGGAGCTAAAGCATCTTCACAATCTTGCAAGGTCTACCAATCGCAAAACATCAAGCTATAAGATACCAGATACAGAAACATAAAATCCATTTGTGCTGTGATACAAAATGCATGTTTAACTTGCCTTATTAACTTCTGTTTTAGTAAAATTGAGACACAGACAAGTATCTTAAAATAGTTACCAATGCAGCTTATGCTGTGAAAACAAAGCAAAGAACACTACATAAAAAGGGTAAACCCATGGCGACCCAAACTCTATACAATTCTGTTCAATCTTGGTCAGTATTTTACTTGTATTGCGCTATATTAACCGAAAGTCCAGAATTTTCTGGAACCAACTACATCACAAAGATTAATATTTAATGCAAAAGGCCGTCATTCCAGAAGACATTGGCCAAACAGAAATTTGCAGGGGTAATCCAACAATACAATAAATACCATTTAACCAAACCAGGAAAAGTTGCCAACAGAAAGTTTGGCGCAACGTCCGCTAAAATTACACATCAGGATACAGTAAAAGAGATCAATGGAAAAGGAAAGGTCTCAGAACAGTTAGGAGCTAAGCAGGTGCATGCATGCCCATTGACCAGCTAAGGACTGAGAGACAAACTTCCAAATGAAAATTTATCAGATCCCACATACCTGAAATATGTAATAAATAGCATCTGATGAACTTTCCAGCTGGGAGATTGTGTAGTTGAGAGGAGACCTATAGTGAGCGCTTATCAAGAAGTGCCTCAAAGCCAATGGATGGTACTTTTCTGTAATCTAATAGAGAATGAAATTATATATTAAATGGTAGTATAAACTGAAAATATATAGAAGCTCCAAGAAGCATTAAAAGGAAAAGTTACCGCAATTTACCTCCCTAATAGTGAAAAAGTTGTTCAGGGATTTTGACATTTTCTCATTGTTATTGGTAACATGTCCATTATGCATCCAGTAACTCACACTGCTCTCTTGGCACGCAGCACAGCTCTGGGCAATCTCATTCTCATGATGTGGAAAAATCAAGTCAATGCCGCCACCATGAATATCAAACTTGAATGTCAGATAATGTGCACTCATTGCACTGCATTCAATGTGCCATCCAGGTCTACCAAGTCCCCAAGGGCTTTCCCAACTTGGTTCACCAGGCTTTGCAGACTGCAGATTTACTTTGAAGTGGCATTAATTTAAAAATACAAACAAAAAACTGCAAAAACGAGGTATGGTTGAGGATCCCAGACCTTCCACAATGCAAAGTCTGCAGGATTACGCTTTCTTGAATCAACAGCAACTCGTTCACCAGCCCGATTGTGTTCCAATTTTTGTCCAGATAACTGGCCATAATTTGGAAATTTATCAACAGCAAAGAATACATCTCCGCCAACTTGGTATGCGTATTCCTTGTTAATAATCTGCACGATATAACAATCATTAGAGAGAAACTGCGGGCTCGTAAAAATAAAACGAACAAAAAACCATCACAGAAACATAATATATAAGCATTAGAGCAAGCAGAAAACCTGTGTTATCAAATCCTTGATATGTTCTATGTGGTCAGAAACATATGGCTGATGGGTGGGAAGAAGGCACTGGAGATCACCCATGTCCTTGAGATATTCTTTGCAAAAACGACTACTTAAACTAAATGGGTCTTCACCATTCTTATTTGCTCGTATTATTATCTGAAACGTCCAAACATTAGCAATCTCTACATGGCATTAAGTACACAACGAAAATGAAAAGAACAAGAAGAATCAGAAGATTCAAAATAGAAAATTATAAAGAGTCAGAAGATCCCAAATTCTTTCAAGAACATAAAACACCATCTGTCTCAGATATTCAAATGCCAAACAACATTAAAGCATTAGCCAGCTGCCAGATAACTGATTTCAGACATAGGAAAAAATACCTTGATATGAGGCCAGTAATTTAGTCATAAAAAGGTAAGCAGATTTATAGCACTAAACAAGCCAAATGAAAAGTTTTAGCTACAAAGAGATAACAAGTATAAGATAACTGAAACATTAATGTTCTGTTTTGGACGAGGGATTTGCAAATACCAAGGGATTAATCCTAAATTAGTTAGAAATACACTAAAGGAAACATTAGGTAGAGTGATCGAAAATGCACCACAGGAGCATCACAAAGTCACTAAACAGCAAATGACTCCTTTCATGTAGTGATTTACAAGTCCCACTAAGTGTCATTTACAAATCACCCTAAGTTCATTGCAGCTAGTCATTCCTTAGTAACGTAGCCTAAATCTCTTGATACTCCGTAATCCCGGTCCAACCATAACATAAATATTGGTGTCTACTCCTAAAAAGCAAGAATGTACAAGGGTATTGCGAAAACTACAAACGAACCAAAGCAGAGTGCACGCGAATGAAGGGAAAGGAAGGAATGCAATACAAAATCATCTCATGATATGGCTCAAAATTCTCACCTTGTCATCAACATCAGTAAAATTCCGGACGTAAGTAACCTCGTAACCCAAATGCTTTAAGTATCTGCAGAATTCCAATTCAATTTCACACATGATTAGTTGCCACAAACTAATCTTCACTTATGTATTACGCCAAACAGATTTTTCAGCGTTTGACAGTGATTAAACCAACTAGCTTTATTAAATAATTCTAACAGAAAACAGAAAAATCAAAAGCACATGCACAAAATCAAACACACCAAATTCTACACTAATGAAAAGCACAATTAATTGCATAATTCATAAATTAAACATGGCGAACCTGAAGAGGACATCGAAATTGACGGCGGCGCGACCGTGGCCGAGATGGCTGAGGTCGTAGGCGGTGATTCCACAGACGTACATCCTGACCTTGCCGGGTTCTATCGGCCTGAAGATCTCCTTCTGGCGGGTCAGCGAGTTGTAAACCATGAACTCCTTGCCGGCGGCCATTCTCGGATTTCTCAACCCTTGCCGGCAGCTGCTCTATGTAAATGTCCGCAATCGAATTGGGTAAAAACCCTAACCCTATATCAAGTTCCCCTTTTTGACCCAAATCGATTCGCAGTGCATAAACTTAAAGCACAAGGTTTTGCTTTTATTTTCATTTTTACTTTTCTTTCCTTTCATTTCTTATAAAAAAGTAAAAAAAAAAACTAAAGAAAATAGTTTGAAAACTTTGAGCTTTAAAAAAAATGATAAAATAAAGGGTAAAGTAAATAGTATCATGATTAATTTTTTAGTGTAAAAATGTAGTTTTTCGTTAAAGTAAATAATACTGAGAGTTTTTTTGTTAAAGTTTCAAAATAAAAAGTAAAAGGGTAAATTACATAGTAGCCCCTCAGGTTTGAGGTCTATTACAACCTCATACAATATCTTTAAAACATTTCACTTTCATACCTCACGTACTATTTTATTTTAAAATAATAAATCCATTACATTTTCCATCCATTGATCCGTTAAGTACTGACGTGATTGCCAAATGTATGTCACGTGGCCAAAAAATAATTAATTAATTATTTAAAAAAAAAAACCTTAATCTTCTAAATTTAAAAATTAAAAAAAAAACACAAGTAGAACCCCATCCCTTCCCCTTCCCGCAACCCCTTTCTTCGACAATCTCCAGATTCAACCTCTCATCACCTCTCTCAACCTCATACTCCACCTCACCGCCTCCCTGATCCTCCGCACCCTTCGCCTTCACCCACCTCCTTGAGCTTCTTCACACTAACCACAATCATCGCCTTCTTGTTCGAGCCCCCGTCTAATTTCTTGATGGTCTGGACCGGCGCACCAAACCGCATCGCGTGGTTCACCGCCTTCGGGTCGCGGAGGGCGTTGGCCTTATTGGGCTTCTTTTGGAGGACCACTGGCTCCCAATCCTAGGCTATGACTCCTCAGTTTTGGCTCGGCATCGTCGAAAATCTATAGATATATAGAAAGAGTTTCCTAGATTTTTGTTTGTGTTTTTGGAGGAGAATATGATAAGGGACGATGAAGTTTGATGCGCAATTTATGGGTTTAGGGATTAGAGAGAAATAGGGGGTGTGATTTGGGGCGCCAGAGTACTGGTGCACACATGGCGGTCGATTGGAACAGAGAATTGAAATTAGGGTTTGCAGAGATTAGAACAGAGAAATAAGATGGCAGGAAGTGAAGACAGCGGAGCCAACCCTTTAAAAGTACGATGGCAGAGGTGGAGGTGGGTTTTTGGATGGGAGGGGAGGTGAATAGAGTGGAAAATAGTGAGGTGGGGGTCGGGGGGGGGAAATGGGTTCCATGTACTCTGCTGAGGTTGTCTTTGGAGCTGTAGCGGCTGTGGAGGAGGTGGGTGAAGGCAAAGGGGGAAGATCTAGTGTAGAGGATCGGGGAGGCAGTGAGGTGGAGTGTGATGTTGAGAAAGGTGAAGATAGGTTGAATCTGGAGATTGTGGAAGAAAGGGGTAAGGGTTGCGGGGAAGAAGAAGGGATGGATTCTGCGTGTGTTTTTATTTTATTTTATTTTTTTAATTATTTGTTTGCCACGTGGCATACATTTGGCAGCCACGTGGCACAAATGTGGCAGCCACGTTAGCATTTAACAGATTAATAGATGAAAAATATAACGGATGTATTATTTTGAAATAAAATAGTACGTGAGGTATGAAAGTGAAATGTTTTAAAGATGTTCTATGGGGTTGTAATAAACCTCAAACCTGAGAGATTACTATGTAATTTACCTAAAGTAAAAAGGTCACTGTAAAACAGTAGCCGGAAAACACTGTTATTTTTACCCTCATTAAATGAGGCAGGTCAAATTGTCTCCGTTCCGGTTTTTTTCTAGAGCCCGAGAGTATTTGAGCTGGGCCTACCCAATTCCCTCAGAGGTGGGGACATACGCGATTTTATAAATAAAAAAGAAGAAGATCAGTTTACGAATTTGTAAATGTTTTTGTTTTTTAATAACGAATATGTGTGTTTTATATTCATTGTATTTAAAAATGGTTGATCTTAAAATAATTATCAATTTACAAAATATGTTAATTGGGCTTATGTGTTCCATAAGAAATAATATCATACTTTCCAATATAATCAAGGCCCATATGATGTAACTGAAACCCAACGAGGAACAAGGCCCGGCCCATGATATTTACAGGGTAAAAGGGCGTTCTGCCAAGATAATCAATAAACGTGACACAAATGACCTCGGAAATTTGGATTGTACAAGCAACCTCTTCATTTGTCATTAAGACTGCCGTAGACAAATTTTGAGATGTATTTCTCGGAGCTCTATCTTTTCCAGATTGTGATGATACTGTCAAGGAAATACCATTCACTTGTATGGAACTTTGGGAACTTCAAACAAGACCCAATGTAACATACACAAAGTTTTATTTTCAATCTGATTCGTCCAAAAATCACTCCTACCAAAAAATCCAGCTAAAATTAAGTACAATTTTTTTTTTAAGTGAAACGATAGCGTTAGTAAGTTAAATGTTAGATTAGCCATCAATAAAGTTCAAACCCATGCTGTCATGCAAGGACACAACACTTTTCCACCGCTGTAGTAAAGAGTCACTTGCAATTACATTTTGGTAGCATGTGAAACCTCTAAGTTGGTCTATTGTCACGGTCATGTTTCTATATATTAAACAGACAGATGGCAGACACTAACTACTATGTTTAGGGATTTGTTAAGAATACTCAATATCTTATGAAAATGTGCACTAATGATGATGGCAGATTTTTCAAACTTTTTGTATGTTTAGGGATTTGTCATGTATATATGAATGCTTCTGTTAAACAGCCCAGCTTCATTGAAGTTCTTCTATCTTCCCTGCAGGCAAAGACGCAGTACTATGTGGTCCATTTACTTAATTCTGCTATGGACCACCATTCTAATTATCAAAATGCGACACATCGACATAGGTGTGGCTACATCGACTATAACATATGAAAATCAATTTGAGGTAGAATTTCACTTGTATAAAACAAATGATATCAAATGTCAGACAATCGTGAGATTTAATAATTTGAAAGTTTAATCAACAAAACATGTCACGAAAAAATGGAATAATATCAAAAATCAACAAATATGCAAAAATTTGGACCAAAAATTTGATTTTAACTTAAAACGATTCCTGCCTCTGCATTCTCATTTCTTCATAGAACCTCTCAATAAACATCTGCGCCCGCAAATCAATGGAAGCTTCTTCTTCGTGATCTCCCCAATCCAACGGCTCATATAAAGCCACTGCATTGTCATCTCCGGCAGTCGGCAGAGCTTCCAACGTGAAATCTCCATCTTCTCCTTCAACTCTCAAGCTATTGCCCCAGCATTTGCAGAGAAAGAACATCGAGTACACGTCTCGAAGGCTTTCGTTCTTCATGAGCTGCCTCCTTCTGTGGTAATGAATGAGGGGAGTGTTGGAGGGAGAGAACTGGTATTCTCTTACAAACCCAGAGTTGTAATTCTTCAGAAGCTTCATCTTCTTTGAATATTGTAACATCCTAATAAATGAGTTTTCAAATGATAGTTTCCTCACTTTGGCAACGAAGATAAAGATTTTCAGGAGCTTGGAGAACTTCTGAAAAACGGGTAGTCGTCTTTTCGACATTTTTTGTGGAAACTTCGAAGTAACAGATGAGTGAGACTTATATGAAACGAGTTCACTAACGAGATTCTTATATGAAACGAATTCACTAATGAGACTGGAAATGAATCACTCTCTTTGTAGTTGCAAAAGTTTGAGTTGGGGTTTGTGGAGGAGGGAGAGAGCATTTAAGGATGCAAAAAAGTGGAAGTGAAAGGAATATAATTGGTGGTTGGGAGCCAAGCTGTAAAAAGCGGGTACCGTATAATGGTCGGTTGCTTCTTCTTGTTGTTTGTTGTTTAATATAAAGGAATAAGCAAACTAGCCGTTGGACTTTGGGACCCCGACTGGGTTTCCTTCCAAGTTTAATTGGAGCTTTTAAAACCGATCGATCTCACGTTTAAAAGGCTACTTTTTGATGATTTCATATGTATTTTGATGTTTACCATGTGACTGGAGGGCAGATGAGGAGCCTTTCGAATTATGTGATGCCGCGGCTTTGGGTTTTAGGGCAGTTCAAAAAAGGGTTTTTTTTTTTTTTTTTTTTTTTTTTTTTTTTAACAAAAGATCTTGCCTTGGGAGAATGTTTACTTATTTGGATTCGAGAAAGTGAAAGAGAGAGAAGATTTGAGGATGGAATCAGGTTTATTAGTTGATATGACTCATGATTTTTTAAGTATTAGATTAACAATTGTAACGTGAAACTACGAGTTAGTAAACACAAAAGAAGTTAGAAATTGAAATATTTTAGTACATTATAGTAAATGTAAAAGGGTATTGAAGAATTCTAATATTTATTATCGGTAAGTAATATTTAACAAAAGTCGAGTTTAAAAGTGGAATTTTGTATACATAGTGAGAATCCCAATTCACAAATTATAAAAAACCTCCATAAAGTTTAAAAATCGTTTTTTTATCTAATGAAGGAAGAGGTTCCAAGTTATTGCCATGCAATTGATAAAAAAATATAACTATATGGATAATGCTTGTGTTTTTCCGTGGGAGAGCATACTTGTCCTCCTGCTTATGACTAATGTATTTTTAACATATGAACATCACAATAGAAACTGCACATTCTCTTTATCATTATCTAAAGATCATATATGCATAAAATCATTTAATTTGAATATCGTTTAACCATTCATACATGTCAAACAAATCAACGACTTTGATAACAAATAACATCTTCATGATGAACCGTCTATTTGTTTGAAACATGTAAATGACTAAAAGATCTCCAAATTGAATAATTTTTTACATTATGAACTTTAGATGATGACAAAGAGAATAGACGATCCGATTATAATATTTGTATGACGAATATACGCTAATCATCATATTCGACCCTCAGATTTTGGAGGCCCTATGTTGAAACACAAATGGAAGCCTTCGATTTATGGCCTTGTTCAATGGCTCCACCTATACTCTCCTAGGATTGGCTGTATTAATCATAAGTTGAAAGATAAAATAGGTTTCCTTACGAAGAAATACAAG